TATGTAGATTACCACAGCAAGTTTATCCACTCGCTGATTGAAGGCCATTTGGGCTGTTTCCACTTTGGGGCAGCTATTTAAAATCTGTTCTAGACTTTCAGAGACAGGCTTTTGCATGGACATATGTTTTCATTTCTCTTGAGTGAATACCCAGGAGTGGTACTGCTTGGTCATGTGCAGTCTCACCAGTCTTGGTATTGTCATTTTTGTCTTGTTTTGTTCTTTTTACTTTAGCCACTTTAATAGGTGTGTAATGGTATGTAATTGTGGTTTTAATTTGCATTTCTCTTATGACTGACAATGTTGAACTTTTTTTATTATTATTTTATTTCAGCATATTATGGGGGTACAGATGTTAAGGTTACATATATTGCCCATGTACCCCCTCCCCCCCTCACCTGCCCGACCACTGATAAACGTTACTCCTATATGTCCACTTAAGTGTTGATCCGTTAATACCAATTTGCTGGTGAGTACATGTGGTGCTTGTTTTTCCATTCTTGAGATACATCACTTAGTAGAATGGGTTCCAGCTCTACCCAGGAAAATACAAGAGGTGCTATATCACCGTTGTTTCTTAAAGCTGAGTAGTACTCCATGGTATACATATACCACATTTTATTAATCCACTCATGTATTGATGGGCATCTGGGTTGTTTCCACACCTTTGCAATTGTGAACTGTGCTGCTATAAACATTCGAGTGCAGGTGTCCCATTTGTAGAGTGTCATTTGGGTAGATGCCCGGTAGTGGAATTGCTGGATCAATGTTGAACATTTTCAATGTGATTATTTGCCATTGGTGTATCTTCTTTGGTGAAAAGTCTGTTCAGATCTTTTGCCCATATTTTTATTGGATTGTTATTATTGAGTTTTGAGAGTTCTTTGTATATTCTGAATACAAATACTTTATCAGTTGTGTTTTGCACACATCTTCTGCCAGTCCGTGCCTGGACTTTCGATTTCCCTAACAGCATGTGGACTGCAGTGAGGGGTGTGATTTGTGGATAGTGGAGGCAGTTTTCCCTGAGCAAAGCCAAACTGCCCATGTGTTCATCAAGCCCGTGAGCTCAGCTGTTCTGGTGACCAATCTGCCCACCTGAGCCCACCTGCCCTTCATTGCTAGAGTGAAGCAAGTGTTTCCTATCTCTGTGACGAAGTCACCTTCTACCAAGTAGCAATCGGAACCATTAAGAACCTTGGAACTAAAACAGTCTGGACTGTTATATGACATTCTAAGGTTCACTCTCAAAGGTCACAATCTCTGCTTTTTTCATATGTGGTTTCTAAGTCAGTCCTATCTGAGTGTAATTTTAGTTCTGTCTGTCGGAAGTTATTCTGTGGAAGGTATTATCTGTGTCTTCCACAAGGCACACATTATGTGTAATCAAAACCAGGAAAGCTATCTTTAAGTTTTGCCCTGAAATAACATACAATCTCAATGTTACTGCATAGAAGGTGAGGCATGGTAAACATTGGTTTGGTTGAACTATCTCCTTGTTTGCTATTTCTTCTCCCAATGTACCTATGTCAAATTAGGTTCTTCAGAATAAGATGGATGTCTGCATGTACATGTGAGTGGGTATGTCTATGCTTAAAATGCTCTTGTTTCTTTTTAACAAGAACAACTTTCTATACTTTGAATTAAAAAGTGACCTTGGTTTAGACATCTTCTTTTTGCCTGGCATAGGCTTTGCATATAGTAGACACTATATAAATAGTTAACAAAGGAAGTTAAAGGTTTAAATACATTCTAACCTATCTCAGCTTTTATTCTTGCTGCTCACTCTTGCTGTTGAGAGATTTCAGTTAAGCCCTTTTTATCCCAGCCATGTTGTGACTCAGTCAAATTTCTCTGCTCACTGCATAGAGAAAATCCTGAACTCATACAGCTTTCTCAGTTGAAGGTAGAACAGTCCAGACTCCATGTGGTCAAAGCCACAGGGAATGACTCACAAACTCCTATTTCTTCTTTCAAGGTGGAATCCCTAGTGTTTAATAAGCTGATGCAGTGTGATTTGGGTGAATAGTAAACATCCTGGTGATACTGCAGCTGATACGAGGAACGAGAGTTGAGGTCCTGGAACCAGCCCACCTGGAGGCTGTGATGGCCACTAACCAGCGTTTCTTGTCTTTAAGGTGTAATCATTTGTTCATGGGAGAATCACTGAGTGAAAGGTCTGATGATGTTAACCCCATCGCTCCCACCCACCTAATAAAAGCCTCTAGATTCCCTTCTCTGAAGGATGGCAGGAAACTGGGCCTGTGGTAGCCATGGCCTTAGCTCAGTGCCGGCCACGCTCCAGTGGTCTGGGTCTCCAACCTGCCCATGTCCACCACGTGGGCAGCACATGCCGCCTGGGCCCTCCAGCTCTCCTGCTCTAACTGCAGCGGTTGAGCATTCCAAGATTTTAGTTTCTTTTCAGAATTCTGTTGTAAGTGCTGATTTCTGCCTTTTGTTTGATAAATAGCATCAAGATGTTCTTGATGGTTTTTTCCTCAGGTTCCCACATACTTTCACTTTTTCTTCCAAGGATTACCTAACTTCTGCTTTTGTAAAAAATTCTTTAGGGTGTATTTAAAGAATTACAGGTATTAATTAGTATCTCATTTCTTTGTAGTCAGAGTCCAGCAAGCCCTTTGCCAGCAGGAGCCAGTCTCAGTCTAACTGGGAGTAAATCAAAATCCCAGTGCGATGTGCTGAATGTCTTGTCTGCGGGGGTTGCCTCCTGCTCGTGCCCCAGGCCTTCCACGGGTGCCCGGGCATTCCCACTGTCCCGGCCAGCGGTGCCTTCTGTGGACAGCTCGGCTGCGAGGGGCTGGGTAGAGGCCACCCGCTGGCCTCACAAGCCACTGGGCGGCATCCACTGTTGCTTTTTGTCTTGGTTTAGTTGGACTGAAGACAAAATGCCACAGTGTGCCAACTGCAGCCCCCTCTGTCTGGTGTTAGCTGGGGAGCCGTGCCTAGAGACCAGGGGATTGAAACAGATTCTCAGTGCTTTGTTTTAATAGAGGGTGTGTGCGTGTTGGGGGAGGAGGGGTGGGTGGCATTCCTCTGTCCTTTGTTTCTAATGTCGCATGAGGCCTTAATCTGATTTGTTTAAACCAACACAAAAATGCTGAGACTGTGTCGTATTAGTCAACTGGGGCTGCCATAACAAAATACCGCAGGCTGGGTGGCTGAAACAACAAAAAATTATTTTCTCACAGTTCTGGAGCCTGGAAGTCCAAGGTCAAGGCACAGTCAGGGTTGGTGTCTGGTGAGGGCTTTCTTCTTGGCAAGGCAGCCGCCACCTTCTCACCGGGCCTTTGCGTGGGCTGTCTGTTGTGTATGCGCAGTCTCTTCTCAGAAGGGCACTGATCCTGTGGGATCGGAGCCCTGAGGGGAGGGTGTGGAGTGGAGGGCCGGGCAGGAGATGGGAGACACGGCTGTTGGTGTCTGCGCCATTGTCTGTCTGGGCGTGGCAGGGGCTCAGAGTGGAGAGGGCAGAGGACTACTTACCCACCGCCACAGAGGCAGACAGAAAGGGGAAGATGAGGGAAGTGTGTGCGAGTGTGTACGTGCTTAGGGAAGATGTAGGAATTAGGCCAGCAGCTTATCATGCCGTGTCCCTAGGTGCTCTTTCTCTGCAGTTACTCTGTGTGGCTTTGTGTGCACGCTCATTTGTTCACAAGAGCAGGGGCAGGGAAGGAATCCTTGGCTTTCCTTACCTTCTGGGTTCATGATTTCCAGAAAGTTGCAGACAGAACGTTGAGACGAGGGGAAAGGGGTCCAGGTGACAATCTTTTTGTCTTGGATCCCAGTCGCCTTCTCCCTGAACGTACTGCATCATAGCATAGCTGGTCTTGAGCCACCAGGACTCAGGGCCCCATGGAAGCTTCAGGAAGCCACCTTTCCCCATTAGCTCCAGTGCCAGGCCCATTATGACCCTCAGGAGATTGAGTCAGGTGAATAACTCACCTTTCCTGACGGTCGCTCTCTGCCCGGAGGGATCTTGGCGCATTCCGTTTTGGGTGCCTGCTCACGTGTACATCCCTGCAATTCTGCTCAGGGGGTTGGAGAGAGAGTGCAGTGGCCAATGCGGCAGATGCAGGGTGCCGTGGCAGCGGACTCTGGGCCTCTGTGGTGGGGGCGGTGGGGAGTGGCCAGAGCTGGCCTGAGCTGTGGCTCGGTGGCCCATCTGTGCAGACACTGCTGCTCTGCTCCTGCCGCTGTTCCCAAATGTAGTTCAGAGCTGCTAGATCTTCCAGTTTTTCAAGGGAAGCCAGAATCATTTTTATGCAAAATGCTTATGAGTTTTGTATATTGACAGTTAATTCCTGATTGAGCATTGTCCAGGCTACACGGCAGAGTGGGCTGGCACGCAGGCCGCTGACCTGATAGCCTTGGGGAGGGCAGATCGAGTGGATGTCTGGCGGTGGGCAAGAGGGCCCCTGAGGGAGACCAGTCCCCCTTCTCCCCTCCCCTCCCTGTGACCCTCCTGTTGCCGGCCAGGCTGTCGCTGCACTGGCTTCTTTCTGTTCCTCAGACACTTCCAGCTTTTTCCAGCATGACAGCTTTTGTGTCAGCTGATGTTCTGCCTCCCCGAACACTTCTTCCCCTTCAGAGGTACACGGCTAGTTCCTTGTTAATTTAGTTCTCGGCTTAATGTCAGCCCCGGGAAGGCTTTCTCTGACCTGCCAGCAGCTCTCCCACGTCGCCGGGTTTGGATCTCCACGCGATCTTTGCGCCGTTCGACGTGCTTCGTGTGGGTGAGCGCAGGTGCGTGCCAGGGTTGTGTTCTCAGCCCACTCTAGAACATCAGCTTCCTGACAGCCCTGTTCTCTGCTGGGACCCCCGTTGTCTGGGCGACAGCCCACACCAGCAGGTGTGTAAGGCACTCAATCGGTAGAAGTGAAGGGAAACAAGAAATGGGTTGTGACTTAAGCTTTATTTTCATTTTTTCCCCAGTTAACATCTACAATTAAAACATGCCTTTTTGTTGTTGTCATTCTTGACAGTGAAGAGGAAGAAAAGTTCCAAATCAGAGACCAAGGGAACCGTATCTAAAGTCACTGGGAAAAAAATCACCAAGATTATTGGTCTGGGAAAGAAAAAGCCATCCACAGACGAGCAGACCTCCTCGGCCGAGGAGGACGTTCCCACTTGTGGTAAGACGGACATTCACCGGAGATGACTGTGTCCACCAAGTGTGTTTCTTCTCTCCTGTGTCTGTGTCTGTCTCAAGTTCATCTAAGGTTCATTACCTCGAGCATTGGATTCGTGTGATCATTCCAACTGCAAGAAATGCGTTAAATGCCTACATGTTTACCTCTTATTAGTGAAAGACTTTGTAGGGGTTTGAGATGATCTCTAAGGTTCTTTCAAGATAAAAAAAAAATTTTTTCTCTTTGATCCTGTGAAGTTCTCCCAAATTCCTTTGAAGTGTTTTTAAACTGGAACATGTGCACCTGCCCTTGGTAAACAGAGGAAGGAGTACAAAGTACGGAAAACCTTCTTGGAATTAAGCTCAACTCTTTCCCTTGGGCTAAAGTAATAAAACTAAATTCTCTTATAATGTTACCATCCTCAAACTTATGTTTCAAATCCAATCTGATGACTGGCCCTCTCCCTAGACAGCTTGTATCCAGCCAGTATTGTCTGAGCAGCTAGCATTTGGTCAGGGACTGTGTTAATAAGTACCTGGTGTTCCCTGGGGACCAAACCAGCCCTGCCCTCCCATAGCATGCAGTCTGGTAGCAGAAGGAAAGTTCAAAACATGTGAGCACAGAAACAAACTTGCACTAACCAGCTCTGACCAGTAACACGAAGGGGAAGCACAAGAGGCAATGGGGGTGTTAGGAACATCTAGTTCCCTTTGGCAGGGGGTACAGCAGTCAGGGCAGGGGGTACAGCAGTTGGCAGGGGGTACAGCAGTCAGGGCAGCCTCCATGAAGAAGTGGGTGATCATTTTCTAGGCAACCAGGTTTACAAGAACCATGCAGACCTTTTAAGGAGGAAAATTTACAACTGAGAGATGGATATTTCCTTTTTTATAAAAAAAAATTAAGAATGGGCTATAATTTTCCTTATATACTGTTTATTTTAATTAATTTTTTTGAGGCAGGGTCTTGATCTGTCACCCAGGCTGGAGTACATTGATGCAGTCATAGCTCACTGCAGCCTCAAACTCCTGGGCTCACACAATCCTCCCACCTTGGCCTCCTGAAGCGCTGAGATCACAGGTGTGAGCCACTGCACCCAGCTTCCTTGTGTGCTGTTGTTGCAGCAGTGTGTACAGCTAGCGTCACAGCTCTCATCACAGCTCTTATTCATTTGACCGGGGAAAGAACCAAGCGGCACACGAAGAGTCGGAGATCAGCCTTCATTCTTCTACAGCAGGCTCAGCACACCTAGTGTTGCAGCTCTCTTTATGTCTTCCGATGTTCTCCCCTTCCTGCCCTTCTGCCCCTGCTTTTATACCCTTGGTAGGGCTCAAGAAGTGTCCAATCGACTATAAGCTTTAACATCCAATCAGCAACAGGCTTTAACATCTAATCAACAACAAGCTTTAACATCCAATCAAAAACAGTGGATTCAAAAATTACCCAATCAGGATCACGCAAACTGCGTGGCCGGAAACAGGCAGCGGCACGCGGGCCTTCTGGCTCGAGGGGTCCCGGCAGCACGCGGGCGTCTAGAGTGGCTGTGTGCGGTGGGGCCAGGCCCCAGCAGCATGCCTCTAACTGGCCACGCGCAGCACTGGCCCCCAGAGATGCGGAACTACGGGGAGGCGGCAAGTGGCCGAGTCCCGGCGCCCAACATTTTCCGCATCACTATTGCTGTGCTTGCAGCTTGCGCTCACCATGGACCCGTGACCCCTTTTCTTTGCGTAATCATCCTGTCCCCACAGCCCACCCTATTGCACATCCATTATATCCCAGGTTTTGGGTCTTATTTTGGGCATGCCTAAAGAAACATCATTTAATTCCTGCCCAAGAATGCCTAAACACAAAGACAAATTTATTCAGCAGATATGGTGCTTCAGCATTGAGAGATCACACCAAAAAGAAAATACAAAAGGTGAGCCCATGAGGTGGGGAGAGGAGTGGAGCTGGGACACGCTGTACTTGAGGGCAGGCAGGGGAAATACCTTGTTCACTTCTAGCCTTCATGGTGTGGTTCTAGGACAGGCGTCCTCAAACTACAGCCCGAAGTCCACATGCGGGTGTTTTTGCCTGTTTGTTTTTTTACTTCAAAATAAGATATGTGCAGTGTGCATAGGAATTTGTTCATAGTTTTTTTTTAACTATAGCCGGCCCTCCAACGGTCTGAGGGACAGTGAACTGGCCCCCTGTTTAAAACTTTGAGGACCCCTGTTCTAGGATGTTGTGTTGCATAATATCGATTCCTAGTGGACACGGTCAAGTTGTCCGGGCAGACACCCTCGTAGAGGGGTCCCGCTGTGGGGGTGAGTTAGGAGGGAAGGCTGATGATACCCATTACTTTGGAGCCTGGTGTATCCCAAGGTCCCTGAGCCTGGCCAGGGGACAGTTGGGTCACAGAAGCAGGCCAGTTGATACTGATGTTCTTTCTACTACCCTGTGCTTCCTCCCTAAACACAAGGCGGGAACTGAGAGGGTGGCTGACTTGCTGAAGTTCAGTCAGAGGAAGCAGCAGTAGCACAGAAGGGGAAAGTGGGTGTGTGGGTGCCTCTGGGTCCCTGTTGACCTCGGCCTTCCTGGAGCACATGGTGGGGTGGGACTGTCCCCCCTTACGTCAGCCCTTGAGACGAGATAGGAGCTGGGGTTACAGATGGAAAGAGGGACCTGTCCAACAAAAAGTGAACTATTCTTTGAGTTTTGTTTTATGAGTTGCTGTAGGTCAGTGGAAGAAATAGAAATTCTGCCATGAAAAACAATTAAACATTAATATGACAGGCAACTCAGCCTGTGGTCCAATCCCTGCCTTTCACAGAGAACACTGAGCTCATTAAGGTTGCATGACTTGCCTGGAGCCACACAGCTAACTGAGAGCAAGCTAGCCCCTGCCCAATACATGTGGTCTCCGGATCCTTCTTCTCTGAAGGAACTTACCTCTGCCGTGACTCCTAATAAACAGGTTTATTGTGTTGGTGATTAGACACTGCAGTGTTTCCCGGTGTCAGGCACTTTCTTGGAAGTAGGAAAGCTCAGCCAGAAAGCAGGCATAGTGTATCTGCAGCATCTTATACACATGAGGATTTCTGTCAGATTGCCTGGCAGACAACTCTTACCTCTGTTAAGAGAATGTCTTCTGTCCACAAGATTTTAAAACTATCATCTAGTTCTTTACTGGGGTAAGGGGGAAGTGAAGGAGTCTTTAGAAAAGTAAAGGGGGAACAGTGACCGTATTCAATTATTTTAGCACAGCTGCAAAGTTCCCAGAAGAACAGAGTAGCTGGATGAAGGCCCACGAGACTGAGCCTGCCAAATTGAGCCTGCAGCTGCTGCTCGGAGAGATGAAGCGCTGAGCTGGAGAGGCTGCAAGTGCAGTGCCCCTGAGCAGAGCTCCCTGGGAGCGATTGAGAGCAGGGTTCAAATTCTAGCTCCTCTGTGCAGTGCAGCCTGGTCAGCTGTGCCCCTGAATGCTGGACTTAGGTGCGATAAGGGCCTTCTTCATGGAGACAGGTGAGGACGAGGCTCCCTGCAGGTGCTCTCGCAGGTTCGGGAGGGTGTGTGAGAACCACAGCCTGGCTGAGCGGCCCAACCCCCCCCCCAACCTACAGCACCAGTTGTGGCTGCCTAACATCTTGTGCCTCTTGCTAGGCCTATTAGAGATACATTTAGCCTGACACGCTAGCATCTAGACAATATGATCTGAGATGTGTGCAAAGTCCCCTACCCAGAAAGGATCTTTTATTTGCCCTTCTCCTGAGCTTACATGTCCTGGCATTCCTGTTACTTTGTGAATTAAGCTACTGTCATCAGGAAATGCATTTCCATCTTTGCCTCCCTTCCCTGTACCTGTCTCCCTCTGGGGTTTGGGCTGTTACACCTGTCTCTTAACCAGCCCACTGTGTTCTGCTCTGTGTCCCCTCCAGGCTACCAGATGGAATCTTTGAAACCGTAGACCAATCACATCAATCCATGCTGAAAAACCAAAAATGTTTCTACTGTTGCCCAGTTCAGGGCCTCAGACAATCTTGTCCCCACTTCACTTTTCCAATTTCCAAGATGCTGCTGCCAGCATCTTGACATTGCTGGATTAAGAGCCAGGTCTGATTTGCTCACCTGTTGTGTCCATAGCACCCAGCACAGAGTCTGGCAGATATAGCAACTCTGTAAATATTTGCTGAATGCACAGATTTCCTTACGCAGATTGCTTAACCTCTGGGAGCCTCAGCTTTCTCGTCTATGAAATGGGATCAATACTTAAATGTCTTGGCTTTCATAAAAGTTGAAGATAACATATATGAAACACTGTGCTTAATGCCTAGCCCATAATTTATATTCAGTAAATGGTCACTGTTATCCATTTGTTAATCTGACATACTTTTTATTTAAAAAAATAAAACCAAACCCTATGCATAGTAGACCTACCCAAGGCAACAGAAACACACCGTCAGATGAGTTGATGATAAATAAGGAAGTGGGGGAAAAGGAATGATCCCGAAGTGCGAGGACAGGGCTTTGTGGAGTTTGAGTAGCCTGAGCTGAGTCCGAAGGACCTACTGGATATTTCTAGGTCCCTTCCAGCCGTAATGTTCGGTGACTTTCTGAAGCTTTCAATGACAGGATTTTTTAGTAGACATATGGGAAATTATATACTTCCCACGTTGTGTCACAATTCACCTTCACAAAACTTCGGATGATGTTTGACCGAGGCGAGGACAGCACTCTTAGTACCAGGGCCTCCACGCTGGGGTATTGGTGTGCAAGCGCTTTGGCCCCTGTGTCAAGTAGAGGACACATTGCAGGATGGCAAGGCGGGTGTTTGACGTTGGCAGGGCCATGACCCAGCTGCTGCCAGCATCTTGACATGTGGCATCTCCAGATACTGCTGCTTGGATGCCCTTGTGAAGGCCCTCTCTTATTAGGTGATCATAAACAAATCCTTACTTACTAAGACATAACTACCATTACATTGGGATAAAATGCCCCTCACAAGTGAGAGCGTCTTGGCCACATGT